TGCTGCTGGTTCTTTTGCATGATTTCCCTGAGTTCCTTTGTGATTATCATTATGGATTCTGTGATGTGATCCCACCGAATTGTATCCAGCTAAGAAATCTGATCCTGAGTGCCTTCCCAAGAAACATGAGGCTCCCAGACCCATTCACTCCTAATCTGAAGGTAAAGTTCCAAACAGTTCAAGGAAAAGAAAGTTACATCTTAATGTTTTAGTCCTTTTTCTGATAAGTGGGCTATTTACTCTCCCTAGCATACACACCTAAAAGTTATTTGTTAGTTAAGGGTGCTCTTTGGAGGAAGCAGTCATGGTATTAAGCCTGATATAGTAGAGAAAGTATGATACTAATGCTGAATATTGGTTCACAGTATTTGTCTAGTTGCTGTTTTCAATTTTGATATTAAATTTAGCTCTATTTATAGAACCTCAACCTAGGTGTTGGGCCAGTCATTTGCTGGGTGGCCCCAGTGGCACAGTACTGCAGAATAGACATTTGTAATGCCATAATTCACAGGTGTTTTGGATGTGTGTACTTGTGTTTTGTTTAAATTGTTGAAGTAAAGGAGAGAAGGGACTGTTTAAAATCATACCACGATGACATAGCTACTATAATTTTGATGTATGTTTCACTTTCTTTTTTAAGAGTAGCAAGTATGTTATTGTCTTATTCTGTTGGTGCATCTTTTCAAAGATTAGGGCTCTTGGTAAGTGAGGAAATCTCATTCTGTACCCTTATTTTAAATTGAAGTCCAGGAAAAAAAAAGCAATTAGTGGTGTAAACTAGACTTTTCCACAAAAGGGTACCTATCCTGCCTTACTTTATGAGAGGTACTATAGTGTAGAATGAGAGCCTACTATCATTTTGGATATACTCTTCTAATTAAAGATTAGTAAAAACTGGTATCTCTACTCTTCAAAATATTTATAACATGTATAGTTGTAGAAGAACAATCTTTCCACTTTCTGGCATAGATAAAACTTGCTGTTAAATTCTACAAATGCTTCTGGTTGTGATTCTTGTATTTGTCTGTGGCAGGTGGATATGTTGAGTGAAATTAATATCGCACCCCGGATTCTAACCAATTTTACTGGAGTGATGCCACCTCAGTTCAAAAAGGATTTGGATTCCTATCTTAAAACTCGATCACCTGTCACTTTTCTGTCTGATTTGCGCAGCAACCTACAGGTTACTCAGTTTGACTTAAATTCTTGTCTGTGTCTTTCATAGAAAGCACTTTGTGTGCATAGTCCTGTCTGTGGCCTTTTTGAAGTTAGTCTTTTCAACCTGATTTAAAAGTTTTAAAACATTGTCATTTCTAATGGTTGGATGAAATTAACTGGATTATACATTTTGCTAGTTCATTTTACCAGTGACACAAAGCTATAGCCTTGGAAGAAGCAACCAGAAAATGAACTGATTTTCTGTAAGAATAGATTGCTGACTATCATTCTCATTCTCTGAGACTCTTCTAAATAAATGGGTTCCAGTTCAGTTTGCTGTATAGAAAATGATTGGAGGTTGTATTATCTTTCCAGTCTTCCCACACCAAGAAACCACATCTTTTTCCCCTCTCCGTATCTTTTTTATAATTGGTCTCAAACTTTATTTTTGTGCTGGTAACTATTAAAGCTTTGGCTTCTCAAGGGAAATCATGTTTCTGTTGTTGACACAACCAACCTTAGGCGGTGTATTTGTTAAATAGCCTCATACATTCCAGCGGATTTCTAAAATTTAAGTCACAAAGAATACTGGGAGCAGTTCAGCGTTTCTCTGAAAGACATAAAGAGGGTTCTTTGAAATATTGATGCCTGAATCCATCCTTTGTGAGAATAAGTCAGGAATTTCTGTTTTGTTCATTTAGGTATCCAATGAGCCTGGCAATCGCTACAACCTCCAGCTCATTAATGCACTGGTGCTCTATGTAGGGACTCAGGCCATTGCACACATCCACAACAAGGGCAGCACACCTTCTATGAGCACGATCACCCACTCGGCTCACATGGACATCTTCCAGAACCTGGCTGTGGACTTGGACACTGAAGGTGAGTGAAGCCTGCCAATTCTCAGGGTGACACTCTCTATACTTTTTGTCACAGTCTGGTTCTAAAAATACTTTGAACCACAAGAGAGACTATTCGGTCAATATGGTTATGGGCCTGGCTGGTTATTTTATCTTTAGTTGCATATAGTATCTGCTCAATGCAGAAAACACAGAAAAGCATAAAGGAAAGGACTCATCCATAATCCTTACTACATTAGTTAATATTTCAGTGTGAGTGAGTGGAGTGGGTTTTTTAGTGTGAAAATAACATTTTCTTTTCACTAGGCTCGTTTTCAAGATAGACTCATGTTAACTTGTTTTGTTAGCCTGCCTTTTACTCCTGCATTTATCAGTGCTTCTTTGCCAGGCAATATGTTAAATATTAGGTGTATAAAGATTAATGAATAGGACTTTCCCTCCCTTTTCTGCAAAAAGTTCACAGTATAACTCGTATTACAGGCCGCACCCTGCCTGTTGAGCTCCAGCTTCTGGCATTCTGTATTCGTTCTGACACAATAGAGACTGTAGCAGGTGGTGACCAGCTGTATAGCCCTCATTTTAACATACACATACTTTAGAAGGATGCCTACTTTTAACTTTGCTGTGGACTCTTGAGAGGCTGGTTTTGAGTTATATACATGTATTAACTTGCCTATTTGTAGGAAAGGGTTTGAGATAGCTTAAAATCAAGATTCAACACAATTAAATACCATTACGTCCAGAGCCCACCAAAAAGGGGGGGGGGTATAGCCTTTAAGGGGATGTAAAAACTCACTGTGATAGCCTTATAAACCTGAGTAATATCAAGCACAGGCAGACAGCCAAATCCAATTAAGATAATATTTATTCCAATATACTTTAAACTAGCATTTCTCAAAGTAGAGTCTGGAAACACTTAGGGAATATCCCCAACACCCTTATAGAGGAGCTGTGAGATCAAAACTATTTTCATAATAATACATTTGCTTTTTTCTCCACATTCATTTGTCACAAGGGTACAGTGGAGGTGTGCAGAGGCTACATGAAGTACCATACTGGAATAGATTGAACACAAGGGAAGAAATAAGAATCCAGCAGAATATAAAAGTGACATTCTTTACTATTTTGAGGGGAGAAATACTTTTTTATTAACATGTTATATTAACATACAGTAGTTCTCTTATTTTTAAATAGACTATTTTTTTAACTAAAAAGTTTTTAATGTGTAAATAGTAACATAAAACCCATAGAAATGAAAATTCTTTGGGGACCTGAGAACCAAAGGATAATTTGAGAGCCTATATCAGAAATCCAAACTCTAGCCATTCAGAAAGATTTTTCATCTCTTGGCCTTTCAGAGCAAATTCTTACTAAGCTGAGTTTTCTTAATTTCCAGGTCGGTATCTCTTCTTGAATGCAATTGCAAATCAGCTGCGGTACCCAAATAGCCACACTCACTACTTCAGCTGCACCATGCTGTACCTGTTTGCAGAGGCCAACACTGAAGCTATCCAAGAACAGATCACAAGGTAAGAGAGGAGTCATGTTTTTCAGTGGCTTCTAAATGGAGCCTCTTGCCCTTTATTATTAATTCTGAGTGTTTTCTCTGTGCATTCAGTGTTCACTGAGCATCTTTTATGTGTTAAATAGTTGTGAGTGAAATGGACATGGTTCCTGCCCTTCTAATAATTAGTCTAATGGGCACAAAAAAATCACAGGTAGAGACCCATTAATCGTGGCTGAAACAAAAACTAGTTTTCAACAAAAGGCCACCAGCATTTTGATAGGTCAGGAGTTTTCCTCCCAGGTGGTGGTGTCAGCATTTTTATTCCGAGTCCTGAATCACACAGGCCTTTTAAAAGGCCATTACCTCTAGGTTGAAAGGCTTTAAGCAGGATAAATAACAGGATCATACTTGTGTTTTCCTAACTGTTGCAGATTATTTGGACTGTGTACAGCATTGGAGGTCCAGAAATGGGTACATTCTAGTGAGATGTATACACAAACTTGAAAAACTGGACCAGAGTTCGTAAACTTGCCCCTTCACCTCATAATAGTTTCTGGGTATTAGATACAACATTCCTTAGGTGTATATGCCAAAAATTAACTAGCATTTTAGTATTAGATGTTTAGATGATAGTCCCATTTTGTGACTATATATAAAGATGTAGTGAACGTCCTTGTCCTTAAGTCTTTATTTTTGTGTTTTATTATGTCCTTAGGGTGAATTTAGAAGTATAGTTGGGGTAGGTCAAAGGATGTGAATATTTAAGCCAGTATTAACTGCTATTCAGAAGAATTGTCCCACCTAGTTATCACATATACTAATAGTATTAGAATTCTTGAGGTAGATTTTTTTGAGGTAGATTTATTTACAGGAAAACATACTCCATAGACAGAGTGCAGGCCATTTTAGAAGGCAAGAGAAAGGCCATGAGGTGTAGGAGGTTGGGTGCTTAAAAGTAAAAGTTGACACACTCCACAGAGTGCAGGCTGTCTCACTCAGAAGGGAGGGTGGCCTCCTATTTACTTGTATTGATTGTGTATTCTTTAAGTGATTACCTTCTATGTGTCATGTAATCTTGACACTATTATCCTTTATCTTAGTCTTCTAGGCTCAGTAATGGGAAGAGGTGGGATTCAAACCCATGTTACGTAATTCTAGGATCTACTTGCTATTATATCAAAGATACTGTTTCACCTACCTTTTGTAAAGCTAACAACTTTGTGTGTAGGGAGGAGTTAGAAAAAAAGATAATGGAAAAGTAGTCATGAATTTGTGTCTCTCTCTGCATTAACTAATTTTTTTCCTCCCCTTGTCCAGGGTCCTTTTGGAACGGTTGATTGTAAATAGGCCACATCCTTGGGGTCTTCTTATTACCTTCATTGAGTTGATTAAAAATCCAGCATTTAAGTTCTGGAACCATGAGTTTGTACACTGTGCCCCAGAAATTGAAAAGTGAGTTTAAAGTACTGTTTTTAATTGTTTAAAGAATGAGAAAGGAGGATGAAAATTATTTGATAGCCCTAGCTTGGGTGGGTAATTAAGGCAATTAAGTAGCCAAAATTAGTAAGACGCAGGGTTTGCTCAGGCCTGAACTTTGCTCACAGACTTGTAACTGTCTCCATTCTTCAGGTTATTCCAGTCGGTTGCACAGTGCTGCATGGGACAGAAGCAGGCTCAGCAAGTAATGGAAGGGACAGGTGCCAGTTAGATGGAATCGCATCTCTGTTGTAAATGTGTCAGCCTGGCGGTCCCACTGTACCAGGTTCATAAACTGGCTGAAGATCCTTTCAGCTCTTCCTGACTTTCCCGGCCCTTTGGTTCTCGGGTGTCTGCCCCAATTACTGTTTGGGTCAGCTTCCTGTCTATGTGGCCACGTTCCAAAGTTTAAATGCATTTTTTTGACTCTTGGCCAAAATTTAGAAGATGCTGTGAATATCATTTTCAACTTGTGTAAATACATGAAAGAGAAAACCTTTGTCTGGAACTTCTTGGGTTTGTGCAAAATGTGTCCAAGGCAAGTAGGTAAACCGGTACCTGCCCGGCTTATAACTGAAGAGGCTGCTGTTGACATCCATGCACATGTCTGCGGGGCATAGCTCCATGTCTTCTGACATTCCCGGTGTCCGGAAGAATAGCAAGAAAGCCATGTAACTTTTTTTTTTATGTGGATGGGGACCTTGAATATCACCAAGTTGTTTAAAATGTGATTGTGTAGAATTTGGTATGCCAGAGACCATGCAGAGAGATCACAGTTGAGATCTCATGTGTTTCTTCTGTTTTGCCTCTTCCCGAACTCTAAAGCTGGCTCCTGGAAGAGCATCATTTTCTCATTTCTGCTGGAGAAATACCCTGGTGGGCCCTGTGAGACACCTCTTTTTATAAAGGGAAGCCAGACCAGGCCTCAAAGCCCCCCACCCCCACCCCTCTCTAACTTGTAAACTGTGGGGAAAGGAACCAAATACTTTGAATTGCCCTTACCCATTAGCCCAATGAACAGCCATACAGGCTAAGTTGAACAGCAACAAAAAAGTCAAAAGGACCAATACAGCCCCTTTTGTAAAGATTTTGGGTGTTTTGTAAATGTATTGGTCCACGTGTTGTATTTTATAGCCTTTCTAGCTCCTGGGCTTTAGCTTCCCTACTTCTTGTATGTGTGTGCATACTGCAGTCGAACATTAAAGTCATGACACACGTGTGCGTCCACTGTGCCTTTCTCAGGAGCAGCCAGTGCTGGTGGTGAGGAGGAAAGTGGACAGGCCCAGCCCTCCCACTGGGGCCACTGGGAAATAACAGCTTCTGCTCCCAATCTGGCATGTTGGAACAAGGAAGTGATTTTTGTGTAGTGTTTTTCCTTTTCCTTTCCAACAGTGAAACATTGTTGGAGTAAGTTTCTGTGGTTAAACAACTTCAAGGTGCCCATTTAAAAATATTCTTTACCTTCATGAGTGTTTTGATACAATTTTTAAAAATAGGTACATATTTAAAACATATCCCATTTATATACCTTACCCTTGTCAAGACTCAAATTTTATGACCAGAGAGGACAAAAAGTTTCAAGATTAAATAAAAGTCTTCCATGAGGGCTTGAGTGTCATTGGTGTCTTAAGGGTGAGTTGTGCCTTCTAGGCTAAGGAATTAAAACAATTGTTCTGAGTCCCAGTGACATAGCTTATTAAATCCTCTAAAAGGAAACAGTTGTTTAAGAAACAAAGGGAAAGTGACTTGCTCAAAATAGACCTGTATTTGAACCAGGTCAACTTTCAGTCCATGTTACTAACTGCTAGACTACAACAAAACCTATCACTACCACATTCTGCTAACTTTGGTTCAAACCGAGAATAAAAGCTATAAAATTTATTAGTCTTAGTAACAGTAAGCAGTGATTCCCATGTCTACCGCTTCTGATCCTTAAGCATGTCACTCTTACCTCAGAGTTCATCCTAGACAACTTGGCTACTTTTCCTTGTAATACGAAAAGCAAAGCAATAGGTCCAAATTTTCCTTCTTTTCAAGCATCAGTGAGTATCAACTTAGAATAAAGTTTTCCTGGACGCTCCTTCAGGCAACAGAGAACCTGCTAACTTGTCAGTTCCAACAACTGGTGTAAGATCATCTTCTGACCGTAACGAACCTGTAAGGCTTGCTGTTCCCTCCAGCTAAGTCTGGTGTAGACCTCCTTATTACTCAGTAAATCTTGTTCAGTTTTTAAGTCTGTGGCATAGGTTTGCAGGGTCAACAAGACACTGTCGCGAAGAAGCTGTCTCCATGATGCTTTGAGTTTGGGGATATTTGTGATTGTCAGGCTGTCCTCTTCCCTTTTATCATCTCCCCATCCATCCTGGTCTTTAAACTCTCTGAACTCCTCAGCAGGCATGCACAGTACCTAGAAGCAACCATGGGGCCCTTTAATTAGGATCTACTTCTTACGTATTTCTGAAATTGATTTAGAGAAGCCAGTCTATCCTGGCCAAGTTTAAGTGTTCACACCCTCCATCCCACCTTTCCTCTCATCTAGTTCTAAATACTTGAGCTATTTTGAGCATTAAATGGCATGCTCAGCCCTTTACCTTGAGTGTGGTGGTCAGTTCCTCTTCAGTCAGCACCTCCTCCCTCCCAATCACGAAGGCTCCCTCTTCCCCTACCATCTCCAGTTTGCATAAGAAATCCCAGCGTTCATACAGTAGGAGTCTCTCAGCTTCAACTTTTGTTCCTGTAGATAGAAAAGTACTCACATGAGGGTCTCAGAATACCCAAGAGCTCATTTCTCCTGAGTCTTCTACCTAGTCTACAAAAAAAGAGGCAACTGCTACTTGGCAGAGCACCTGGGGCAGGGACGGAGACACACACACCAACGTCTGAAGTGTACTGAGACACTCACCCTGTAATGCTGCTTCACGAACTGTCACCATCTGAATGTCAGCTGTGTCATCCGTGTTGTCAGGATATGGTTCAACAAAACCATACATGTGAATCAGTTGCCAATTAGCCATTTGCCCGTAAGTGTTGAAAATCTCATGGCCTTTAGGAATGGGCTGAGTGGCCACCATCCGAAGACAGCTCTGGGGTGGAAGGGAGAAGCTGGGGCCAGGCCCTTTCCAGGCCAGCCCCATGAACATTACTTCCCTCCTAGGAGGAGCCTCCAGCAGGTACAGTTCAGTGATGAGACTGATACTATACCTATCAACATTCTACCTTTAGCTCCTGTTAAGATCCTGCACTGTAAAATGAAAGGCGTGAGACTTGCAAAGACCAAAGGTCAGCCCGGTGTTTTAGTAGGTGAAACCAGCTCAGTCATCTCCAGCATTTAAAAAGTTGCTAGCTTTTAAAAAAATGAACAAATAAATCTAGATCAAAGTAGGAACAGCAAATAGGGACATGGATTTTAAAATAACAGCCATTTCATAATTTTTAATTCCATAAATAACTTACTGCAACTTTCCTCTTAATAAAGAGAATTAATATAAATACAATCCTAGTATCATCTTAAACCTTTGACCTAACCAACATCCCCTCTCCTGAAAAGTGTTGACACTATGGCTGTCAGACTGCTGTCTACAAGGCCCCAACAATCTTGGTTCACTGGCACTGCACAGAGCAACCAACCTGTAGCATCAAATAAATGATAGACGCGGCTGACCAGAGGATTAACCCCAACTTTTTTTGGGGTGGGGGGAGTGGCTTTGAAATGTTTTGTGTTCAAACGGTTTCAATGAAACATGCAAACAAAGTAGAGAGAGGAAAAGCTCACTTCACCTACTCATTTTTAGTATGAGGAGAATGGAGCCTATTTAGCTCAACTGCCAGGCCAGCACTGAAGTGACACTGGTTTGAATCAAATGCCCAATCATCAGTGCCCTGAAGAACAAGAATGGGAGGGATCCACTCACTGGAGAGTATTCTAGATGGGCATTGTGATTGGCTAAGTGGTTTAGTATGTCTGCAGCAGGCACCATCAAAGGGGAGTTTGGCTCCTGTTCATCCTCCTCTTCCTCCAGTGGTTCCTGAAAGCTGCCACAGAGAGAAGTCTGCTGAAGCCCCATATCGGGTGAGACGGGGTGGGGTTCACTGTTCTTTCCCCTCTCGTCCCTCAATAGAGCTCTAAAGAAAAGGGCCCTTTTAAAGACTCTGCTCACTGACCTGTAGGCCATCACAAGGGCCACAAGCTGGTGGTAGAGTTCCAGAGAGCGAGCCCTGGGGCTGAACAGATCGGGGTGGGCTTCCATGAAAGGCAGCACGATGGAATAATACTCGCTGCGGATGCTGGCCAAATCCTTCTCCACGGCCTCAGGTACGCCTGTGCCCTGCAGCAATCGCCGGCGCTCGTCCTCTGGCCTGCAGTGACACCCCCACCCAGGTTCTACCGAGACTTGAGTTTGGGACCCCAGGCCCAGAGGCGGGTCGGTTCGAGCCAGGCTACCGTGCTGGCGCTTCCCAGCCCCTCCCGGCTCTCACCAGAACATCGGGTGCTCCAAGCGGCCCAGCTCGGGCCAGAGCGCAAAGTAGGGGCTCCAGGGCGAGGCCGGAGCCTGCAGCTCGTGGAGCAGTGCCAGCAGCAGTGGCACCCAGCCCGACTGGCTCTGCAGCGCACCTCGCTCTGAGGGAGACACAGAGGTTAGGGCCCTGCCGACCCCGCGGGGCCCACCTCAGTGTCCCACCCCCTCGGGCGTGCCCACCTCGCTCTAGCAGGCCGCTGATTGAGCAGGTGTGCTGGGACAGGACCGCGGCCCGCGGCACCGCGAACAGCAGCTCCCCAGGCTGCACGCTCTCCCGGGCCACCATGCCGTAGCCGGCCACCGTGCCCTGCCGGCTCACCGCCACCTAAGCACAGGGAGCTGCGGGTCAGAGATGACCCGCGCCCCCGTCCCGCCGCGCCCGTTTCCACCCTGCCCCTCACTCACCTTGGGACTCAGCTCCAGCCCCACCCGCCGGCACCAGCTCAGGAAGCCGGCCACCGGGGCCGGGTCTTCGCAGCCCGCAGGCCCGGCCACCTGGGGTAAGCAAGCGCAGTGGCGAGGCCCCGCCCAGGGGAGCTCTCTGGGGGCGGAGAAGACTGCGGCGCGCGCGCGGAGAAGGGGCCCGGGATGGGGGAGGGGACGCGGGGAGCTGCAAAGGGCCCGCGGGAGGGCGCGGAGCAGGCGCGTGGGACGGCACTGTGGGCTGAGGGGCTGCGAGGCGCCGTGGAGAGGGGTAGGCCCGCGCCGCCCCCGCGACTTACCCGCCGGCGCTTCGCCTGGGTCGCCATTGTCCGAGGGCGCTCGGCCCCACGGGTCAGTAGACCTGCGCGGGCGCTTCCGGCATCCAGGGGCTGGACTCTCGGGGGCCGGGCCTATGTCCCCGCCCCGGGACCACGTGACGTTCGTTACAGCTTCCATGAGGAAGACGAGTTAGGCGTTGCACCTGGTCACGTCATTCTTGCTGAGACCATCCTGAGGCCAGGTGTCCCCAGTTGAGTTTAGAAAACGTGCGGTCGAGTGCAGAAAGACTTGTCCCCTTACCGCCTTGAGCCTGGTCTGAGGCAGGCACAACCCTCCCCAACTTTGGTCTCCGACAGCTGAGACCCCTCGGGGTAGAAGTCCTGGTGAACTGCAAAATCTGATTTTTAGATGCGATGCGAAGGCCTAGAAGCTGGCACGTCCAGGTGGGCCGCCGCCTGCCTTCCAGATCTCAACTCCCTTTTAGCTACAGTCCGTTTTATTTGCTCAATTTAGAGCAGTTTGCGCCTGTGTTTCGAAGTGGTGTGGGCAGGGCTCCCAGAGCTAGAATAGACCTCTGTTTTTCTTCTGCGTATCATATGGTGTTTATTTTTATTTACTTGCTTCTTTATTAGCTGATACACAGCTGGAACTCAGTATCTATTTAGTGGCTGGGGGAATGAAATCAGAAATGGTGGTTAACCATGGGGAAGTAGCATGCAGTTAAATTTAAGAAAATGAGGCAGCGAATATAGAGGTTACAGGCCTGGGTTTTGAAGTCAAGTAATGCCAAGGCCAGCTCCCAGCTTGGTCTCTAGTTAGGCAGGGCAAATTCAGTTTCCTGTGAAACTAAGATAATTAATATTTCCCCTGTAGAATTACTGTAATGATTGGTAAGGTAATAAGGCAAGATGTGGAAATTCAGAGATGAATGGAAATGCCTGTCTTCACCCAGAACGTTCAGCCCCACCTAAAACCCAAGAAGCACTAGGCTCACCAGCCTCAACATTGTTCTCTTCCCAAAACTTCCCAAGATGGGCATGGCACCACCATACTCAAATTCTTCTTAGTTTCTTTATTAGTATTTTGGGCACAGTTAACTGTTTCCATGGTGACAAGGGTTTTTATTTGTTTTACATTTTGTCATCTCGAAGTCTCATGACATCAGCCAGCAGAATACACAAAAGTAGGCTCTCCACTTTGTATAAGAGGAAAATAATAAATTCCATTAAAAGTTCACTTTGACAAAGGAAGAGACAACCTCCGATGAAAACCACACGCAGGAGGACCCAATATACATATATATATATAGTGTATAGATATTTATAGATATCTCATTTTAAAGTACACAGAAGAAAAAATCCAAGATTCACAGAGCTATCTACAGTAAGAGGATTAATTCTACCAGCTTTTCAAACAGTCACATTCAATATTCAAAAGAAGCACGTGAGTGAACAGAACTGTGGACAGACTAATATGCCACCAGGTTCTAGAACCTAGAGCAGTCTAGAGTAATGGCTTAAGATTATAGAAGATGATGTGTGCAGAGGAAATGTGGATGCAGGTCTCCCCTTAGCCCCAGAGCACCTCCCTACACACACATCCCCTCCACAGCCCTGCATTTTTCATTGCTCGCTCCTCTTCTCCTTTTTATTCATTTTGGGGCTTGTGGCAATTAATTTAGGCTCAGAGACAAATGGCTTCTGGTTTCTGGGCCAGGAGATTCTACCTGGTACGGTTGGAGAATGGGAAGTAGATGGCACAGCCCTGGGCTTCCGGTGGCAGGAGTGTGTAGGGGGGAGCCTTTCTCCTCCGCCTGGCCCTTGTTCACTTCAGAAACTTTTCACTTCCACCCCAGGACCCAGCAAGCCCCAGCCTAAGCCTGCTCCAACTGGTTAGGCTGGTGATGTGGGGCTGTGAAATCCTGCTACTCTGGACCAGTTTTCTCCAAATGAACCCTCTCATTGATGCCTATGTGCAACATCAGCATAGCTTAACCAGAACTCTCTCTAGAAACGTTTCCAGCGGCCTTAGCCATACCGCTGCTGACTGGGTTGTCCTCCATGGAACCTGGGGCAAAAAAGGGGTCAGCAGGAACTCTCAGCCGCCACTGCCTGCTGGCTTCCAAAGGCAGGCACCACGGAGTTCTCAGCGGTGCGCCCAATAGTATCCCAGCCTTTAACCTCAGCTCCAGTCAGTTCCCTACGGAGACAGAGGACCAGGCGACTTCCGCCTCAGGGCCTTGGCTCAGAGATGGGACAGGGACAGGAAGTGGCAGAGTGTGGGCTGGAAGGGACAGTCTGTGAGGTCCTGCCCTCAGGGTCCTCTATGTTCTGTCTTCCTTGGGCAGAGAAACCCTTTTCAGCCCTCACTTGCCTGGCTCTACAGCACCAGGCCTGCCCAGAGAGCACCAGGAAAACGGCTGTCTGGTAGGAGCGCCCTCTTGTGGCTACTGTTCAGATGATTGTCACATGTGCTGCAAGACAGAAACAGATGTGCTTGGTGGAGGGGCTGGGAGGGTAAGGGGCCTGCAGAGTTCCAGGGCTTCTGCCTGAGTGCTCACCACTGCAGTCTCCTGGTTCTCACACCAGTGCCTGAGTTGGACCCCGTGCTCCCTGTCCCAGCAGCCACCACCTCAAAACCCCAACCCATCTTCAAACCTGCCTGCCCGAGCGGGTCAACTCATGCTCTTTCTTTAATCCAGGATGCCATCTGGATCCTGGCCAGAGAAAGACTCAGAGTCTTTCCTGAGCTAATCTCCTTCCTCCCTGGAACCCTGCCCTGACTGTGCCTGTGCCGTGGGGAGGTGGAAGAGGGACTAAGTCAGCCAAGGTAATGAGGTGCGTGAGAGGACGGGGTGGGGAGGAGTGAGCCCCTCGAACCATCTGGAGACTGTTCTGCTGCAGCATATAAGATGGATCCCCTCATCTTTTTAAACAAAAGAAAAGTAACCCCATTTTCTCCCCTTCACCCTCACAAAAACAAACTAAAGGGAAAATGAGCCTCGCGAGGATGGCAGTGGGACGTCGATGCGGGCTGGGGCAGGTGGGCATCTTCATGGGACCAAGGGCTTCAGCAGGACACCTCCATGGTGTGGTTGACCTGGCCCAGCCCCTCACTGCTCTCCGAGTGGGTGCAGGCCTGCGGGCGGCTGCCGTCCACCGAGCTGGCGCTGGTGAGGGACGCGGTGCGAGAGCGGGCAAGACGGGTCATGCTGGCCGAGGGCACTGCGGACACAGAGGGCACCAGGGTGAGGACCAACAGGTGGGGCCGGGCGCCAGCAGGCAAGAAAAGGATTTACACAAGCAAAGCGGCCAGCGAGAACTGTTCCTCCGACAGCACAGAGGCCCATCCCAAGCCAGGGCTGTGCATCTGCTGTGTCAAGCCCAAGGCATGCAACGCCAGCGACGGGGAGTGCGCGACACCTGGCCAGAGCTATGGCCAAAACAGACTAGGAGTTCACTGGGTATCCTTGAGCTGGCGCAAGGATAGGACGTTATTTCCAACTCTGCCTCCCTCCAGAGGACGATGGGGCAGGGGGAGTAAGACCACTTCTACAAAGAAAGACAAGGTGTGTTGGGCTCAAACTGCCGTAAATCCAGTTTCTGCTCTTAATCAGAGTTTAACAAGCAGGGCTTAGAGGGAGCAACTTCTACCTTCTTGACCTCAACCAGCCATCTCTCCAGATCAGGCATGGCTTGCCCCTGACCCCAGGGTCTACACCTCTGAGAGCCTGGGCTCTACCTCTGAGAGGTTTTGGTTCCAACTGCCAGAGCTCTGGAAGCCACAGGGCCCATGGCAGCCGAGAAGCAAGACTGATGTAAAACCCAGCCAATCAAGAGCCCTAAATGGGACAGAGCCCACAGAAGAGCAGGACACAAGAAGGTTCTAAACCATGGCAAGATGCGGCCTGGCTGCAGCACTGCACAGAGGAAGGAGCAGGGGGTACTGGGGTGAGGGGTCCATGCATCAGGGGAGGGGCCATGGGGCTACCTGCTCCTCCACTCAGTCTTCGGTCCTTCAAGTATGCAACTAAGAGAGAAGACAGAGCCAGAGGGGCGGGGGTGGGGGAGACACAGAACATGGGTGAAGAGGATGTCCGGCAAGGGGAGGGTGTTGAGATGGGCCAGAAACGAGGGGACAGGCACAGAGAAGGCTGGGGGTGGGGCCAGAGCCTCAAGGAGCCCTCCCACTCCTGCCCATCTGCCGAAGCAGGGGCCCCAGAAGGAACCACAGCACCAACTGATGTCAGTCTGGCCCTAGAAGCCCCAAGAGCAGGGAAGGAGCACTCATCTCACCCCTGCATCTCTAACCTGGGCTGCGGCACTGGGGGACTCTTGCCAGCAAGGCCTTTGGGGCCCATACCCTAGTCCCAGTGCCCTCACCATTCCGCTAGGGCTCAGTCTCCCCATGAAAGGAATGGGGGAGGCCTGCACGACCTCCCAAAACCCTCCCAGCTCTTGAGCTGCCTGGTGCTATTTCTCTTGGGGCCCTGAAAATGTGTCCCAGCCCCCCACAAGTGCCCACCCACTCGTCCTCACCCGTGTCCACCAGGCCCTCCTGTGCTCAGGGCCCAGCCTCAGAGCCCCCGCGGGGCCTCACTGTTTAGTCTTGGCTTCTCTGCCCTACTTCTCCACAGACAGGCCGGCAGGGAGGCCCCAGGCCTCTGGGAATTGGGGATTTCTACTTCTGTCTGGCCTTCCCCCACAGGCCTGTCCTAAGGAGGCACAAATTCGGGGAAAGGAAGTTTGCTTCCAGCAGGAAAGCCAGGAGTAAGCAGAGATGGGCGGAATCCCGGAGACACGGGTGTGTCACCAGCAGGGCGTGTGAGTGCTGGCCCTCAGGAGCAGGGGCTCTCCTCCCTACACAGGTGGAAGTTATGGGGCGGGGAGCCAGTTCCACTCAGAGCCCCTGTCTCCTCAGGGACTTTAGATATGCTACCCCCAGGTTTGGCTGCCTTCAGCTCTCCTAACACCCGATGGCCCCACATGCCCGCCCCAGTCCCCAGACTCCAAGCCTATCGTCCGGTGCCCCAGTGCATCCAGCACCTGTGACAAAGCCCTTCTCAGGTGCTGTAGGCCAGGCACGGGGGTGGTGGTGGGGGTGGTGGATGACTTACCTTCAGGCAGGCTTCCCTGGCAGGACTCA